CAAATGTAAATGAAATGCCTTTTTTCAGTGCAGTTGCCCAATCTGTATATGGTTTATGGCAAGCTTAGGCCCACAGTCACGTATCAATGCCCATATTGCAACACGAAGCAGTGCAGAAATCCTGTTCTCCACGCGGTGGTGCCAGTTGCACAGGGAAAATATTTTCCAGCAGTGGATCTGTGCATTTGAGCTGTTGAGCAATTATGCTCATACAGACATAAAACACACCTAAAGCTGTAGCAATTTGAGATCAATTAAAGCCTTGTTTACCTGCAGTATCCCTACAAGACAATATTTTTTCAACACGATTTCCTGGGTACACTGGAAGTAAAGTGCTTGACTACGCTCACGTGTGCTCACCTGGCTGATTTGATGGTCTGGGGCTGTTCGCACCAGACCTCGGGCTCACAGGGAATGGGGCCAGTAGCCAGCTACCAAGGTGAAGTTTTGAATAAGCACCCCAGAGGGACAGATTTGCTAAACTACTTCTCAAAGAGCCCCATATCCCTCAGCGCTAACAATGCATATTGTCAGTGAGCAGCATCTGCTGTTTGAAGATAAGGGAGGAAACCAGCATGTGTCTGCAGTGAGTGATGTTGATTGATATCTGGCGCCGCAGCCTGACCTGATATCTTTTTGAAAAGGTCTCTCCAAATGCCAGGGAGTGGTAGTGAAAACAAGCAGGTTGTTAAGAAGTCCTGGCAAAACAGGGGGAGCAGAATCGCTGGGCTCAGGACCGAGCAGCACAATCTTCTGCATGGTCAAGAAACACCTCAGTCAGGACATCCTTGTCCTATCCTGCCTTGGTCTGGGAGCAACCTCTGGGACTTCTGTTCCACCTTGCCCTGACACATTCAGTTGTTCCTACTGCCACCTTGGGACCTTGTGTGAGTCAGAATCTGAGCAAGGTTATCAGGGTTTGGCCCCAGACTTTGTTTTCTTTGCCCTTACATCACTTGTTTCGGCATGAATCATTGCACTTGGCTACTGGAGGTGTTGGCCTCTCATGTGGCACAGTACAAGTGACTGACTCGGGTCTAACTACACTTCTCTAAGAATTGTCATCTTGTAAGTCTTACAACCATCCTACAACCAGGAGCAACTGATGTTCTACAAGATCAAAGGTGATAATAGGGCGGGAATCCTCCCACCTTTTTTACCTGTAGCAAGTGTTGCTGTTGCAAGCTCCTACTTCCGGAGCGTGAGTTGGAAGGGCTTGGTGGATCATTAAAATCTGTTGCACAACGTTATGCGTGGAGCCCGAAATCTTTCAGGGTGTTGCTGTGTGGCAGAATGGTTTTCTCACACGGAGACAGTTTCTCAGACAGTAGCTCTGTGGAAACTAAGCATGAGCGTTCAGCTCTACTGCCCACTCTTTGTGGACACTTGAGACCTACACCCAGTGTAGTATGTCACACAAGTCACTCGGAATATACAACTGGTTTTCACATTGGTGATTTGTTCTCCTGTCTGGGCTTCTCAAGATGTCACCAGCTGGGTAATATCCCAGAAGGTGAGATACTTGGATCAGCAGAAAGGACACCGTTGTCTGTCTACCCAAAGCCCAGAAGCTTGGCTGACCTAGAAAGCAGGCAGCTGGCCTTCAGTGAGAGCTGTGGTGTGTGACAGCAGTGTGACCAGACACCAGGGGCTCCTCTCTGATAGCTGACAGAGAAGAATCTAGCTCTGAAGCTACAAAGAAGAAAGCCAAATGCAAAACTTTGTGTTAACAAACAGTGCAGGTGCTCCTCAGAGGGGCTCTGCATACTTATCTCAGAGCCCAGGAGCCTCACACGAGAAGACCTTGTTTTTATGAATTTTGTGGTTAAGCCTCACAAATTGCCAGGTGCCACCTGGATTTGAGAGTTCTCTATTGTGTTTAGTTGAAGTAACCTGTGGTTAGCAGCAGGGTGGTACTGGGAGCTCGGAGGGACAGGGATAAGTGAGATAAACAGCACTACAGTGTCTTTAAAAAGCAGAGGGGCAAAGAAGGAGCGAGAGCACGCATGAGACAGAGCACGCAAGCTTGACATTTGGAGCAAACCGAGCAGACATAGCCGCAGCTCTGCGCTCTGACAGTGAGCTAAAGGTAGGCTGGCAGTACTAATGACAGCAACCCAGGTGCTTGTAGGACATCCGAGTGTTGATTCATTTTTCCCATTTTAATGTGCAGGTCAATGATTTTATTTTATATGTGCAGTGAGACTATTCATAAAGCAAGGTCTTCCTTGGCATGAGTAAAAGTATTATAATCTTGCTGTTCTTCAGAAGTGTATGAAATATTGTGAGCTGGGAAGGGATTTCTTTTCCCCTTTCAAGGTAAAAAGAGGTGATACTGAACACAGCTGTCAGAGTTGATTAAATAACCGTGGCTGGGGTTCATGGCTGGGGTTCACTCTGTAAGAATCTGAGCGGGATAAATAGCAAGGAGAAAGATTGTTTGCTGTGACCCTCAACTAGAATAACAGACCAAAGGCAAATCCATCAGGAAATATTCCCAGCACTGGGAATATTTCTAGCTCTCCTGAGAGAGCTGCTGAAAACTCCACTGCCTTGGAGCCAGGCAATTCAAAGTGTTTGATGAGTAGCCTGCTGGCAGGTATTATCTCCTGCAGAAGATGAAGGTCGGGTGACCTGAAAGGGCTTGTTGGTCATTCATTTATTGTGGGGCATGTTAAATGAAGGCAAAACCAAAAAAACAAACAAGCAAAAAAAAAAAAAAAAAAAAAAAAGAAAAAAAAACAACCAACCAAAAAAAAAAAAGAAAGAAAGAAAAGAAAAGAAAAAAAAAACACACAACAAAGCCCACAAGAAACTGTTTGAACTTTTCTTGAGCAGAAGTAAACCCTGTCTGATTCAGCTGATGATTAATAGCATTGGCCATGGGTTTGGAGGTCAGCATGGTACCACGGTGGCACTTAGTCAAAAGGCCAGATGAGGAGAGAAAGTATTAAATATTTTGCTCTAAATGTATTTGGTGCTGGTTATTTCTTTACAATGAAATAGATATCACCCTGAGGAGGCATTGCTTGTGGTTTGAGACACTCTGAAGTTGCTGCGGGAGATGACTTTGCATAGGTGTTATGTGGCAGAAAGGGATCTGTGGCCAGCACAGGGCACCTAGCTCTGCAGCTAACAGAGCGTCCGTGCTATCTGTAGCAAAGCAGGACTATTCAGGGGCAAGCAGGTTGTTGCTCAGTGGACAGATTTTACCACGTCTGCCACAGGACGCAGCCAAGAAAGGGGGACGGTGTCAATGCTGTGATGTATCTGGGCACAGCTGCGCATGGCAGATCTGTGGGCAGCAGAGCACAAGCAAGCATGTTGCCAGGCTGCCTCGGCAATGGCAGCAGGGGATGCAGTGCAGACAGTGATGTTCAGCAGCACGGGCAGGTAGATGGAGCAATGCAGGCAGATGGGGACAGCAGTATGGGCAGCTTGTTCTCACTGGGATGAAATGAAGAGAAGCTGGGAAGGAAACAAACCTTACTTTTAGTTGCCAAGGCCTAATGAACAATTTTGAACTTAAACAGAGCTCTTAAGGAAAAAGCTGAGTAGACCTTTTTGTCATTCTGGGTCTGGAACTTTATCAAAGCATGCTGTCCTTTCCCAACTGACTCTGAAAGGTTGTGCAGAAGTGTTGCTTTATTGAAGGGATATAAATGAAATAATCTCAGAAACACCCTGAGCATTGTCACTTTAGACCATGGCTTGGATGTATTTCTTATGAAGGACACCTTCCAAGTAGACACAGAACTGAGATTTCTAGCAAGTTAATTGAATGGCTAAGTGGGGATGTAATCAGTCAGAGAAACCAAAGCCATACCCATGTAATTTCTCATTCAGCGTATATAGTCTTAATGTTTAGTTTTTCTCTCTCTCTTTTTTTTTTTTTTTCCTCACCCCAATCATATTAGGAAATATAATTTAATCTTCTCTATGCTGTTTGTTCACCTTCAGCACTTCTCATAGTCAGGTAATGAAAAACAGGTTAGTCACTTTTGTATTTGTTTCTACAAGATTTTGTTTTCTAAGTCTGATGCAGTAGCACAAAGTTTCAGTGTTTGAAGTGAAAGTCTTGTATTTATTTTTATACAATACCATATTCCCATGGCAACCACACTGATATTACTTTTGGTTGCGTCTCTATGGAAGCTAAAATTGGGGTCAAATTTGAGCAGACATTTACAGCTTTCCAGTACCAGTAATCCTTACAAACAGAGTTCTCAGCAGGGTACTTAAACAGATGACTAACTTGAAATGTATAAATATTCTCTCTAGAGCAAATATGCAGCCAGTATAAATTGCCGTATCTCCTTTAGAATCCAGGGAACTATAGTGCTTTACATCGACAGAGGATACACTCCTACAGCTCTAATGGAGCCACTCACATTCAGCATGCACATACTAAAGTACCTTACAAAACTGAGGTCTGAATAAAGTCTACACAGGGACTGAGTCGTGTGTGCTGCTCCGCCTGTGTAGAAGGGCATGCATTAGACACTTGAGCTCAGAATCGAGGACTAAGAAGTGGTGTGAGAGCAGTGGTCTCAGTGACTTTAATAATATAGCGTGAGACAGACAAAATTGTGTCTTGAATTGGCCACTCTGGTTTGGTTCCATGTGAAAAAGTCACCACACTTTCAGAATGTAATTCTGCTCTCTGATAGCTTTACTTATGGCAAGCCCCATCAGGTATAAGAAGATAAAGGCAGACTGGGATATTAGTACCTGATGTCTAATGGCTCTATGCAGTGTGCATTGGTGTTGTAATGGACTGTGGATGCCTCAGCATGAAAGACAAAACACAGTCAGGTGCTTATCTGAGGACTGAGTGGACATCCACATGTGGGCCCCTCAGGTCAGTAGGTGTCTTGGCCGAGAAGGTAACTTACCTTCAAAGCATTTCTCAGTTAAAGTGGATGTGCTTATGTACTGGCATTATTTCTCATTTTGAAGAATAAGATAATTTACAGCTTCCTTCTCTTTCTTAGGTGATTTGGTTTCTGACACACTGGAGATGTCGATAGCATCACAGATGGACCTGCCTGAAGAGATTCAGCATCCTTATACAAAATTTTCCGAATGGAAATTCAAGCTGTTTAAAGTGAGACCATCTGAAAAAACATCTTCTGATAACAGCCAGTGCATAAATAAGGATCAGGCAGAAGAGGTAGCTTCTACAGACAAAGGCATCATGCTGCATAAAGATGAAGGAGTTCCAAGAGGAGAAAAAATTCTGACACAGACGGACTTAATGGGCAATAGGCAGGCACTTGGGAAAGATGCCAACGACATGAAAATACAAGACAACACAGAGCATCAGAACAACCTGAAGCAACTTTGCCGCATCTGTGGAGTTTCATTTAAGAGTGACTGTAACAAGAGAAGTCATCCAGTACATGGGCCAGTGGACGATGAAACTCTGTGTCTTCTGAGAAAGAAAGAGAAAAAAGCAACCTCTTGGCCAGATCTTATCGCTAAGGTTTTTAAGATTGATGTGAGAGGGGATGTTGACACTATCCATCCCACTCAATTTTGTCACAACTGCTGGAGTATTATCCACAGGAAATTCAGTAACACTCCATGTGAAGTGTATTTTCCTAGGAACAGCACGATGGAGTGGCAACCCCACTCTGCAAACTGTGATGTGTGCCATGGTACCAGCCGGGGAGTCAAAAGAAAAAGCCAGCTACCCAGTGTACAACATGGCAAACGTGTGAAGACCATTGCAGAACGTGCTCGAGTTAACAGAGGCGTAAAGAACCAAGCACAGATGAATAACAAAAATGTAATGAAAGAGATCACCAACTGCAAGAATACACATCTCAGCACCAAGCTGCTTGCGGTTGATTATCCAGTAGATTTCATTAAATCCATCTCTTGCCAGATCTGTGAACATATTTTGGCAGATCCAGTGGAAACAACATGTAGACACTTGTTTTGCAGAACTTGCATCCTTAAATGCATCAAAGTTATGGGCAGCTATTGCCCCTCCTGCTGGTATCCTTGCTTCCCTACTGATCTGGTTACCCCAGTGAGATCGTTCCTGAACATCCTTGATAGCCTGAGCATAAGATGCCCTGTAAAGGAATGTGATGAAGAGATCTTGCATGGAAAATATGGCCAACACCTCTCCAGCCACAAGGAGATGAAAGATAGAGAGCTCTATAGCCACATAAATAAAGGTGGCCGACCGAGGCAGCATCTTCTGTCTTTGACCAGGAGAGCTCAGAAACATCGTCTGAGAGAACTGAAATGTCAAGTCAAGGCTTTTGCTGAGAAAGAAGAGGGTGGTGATATAAAGGCCGTATGCATGACTTTGTTCCTGCTAGCTTTAAGAGCAAAAAATGAACACAAACAAGCAGATGAATTGGAGGCTATAATGCAAGGGAGGGGATCTGGACTCCACCCTGCTGTCTGCCTGGCAATCCGAGTCAACACGTTCCTCAGCTGTAGCCAATATCACAAAATGTATAGAACTGTAAAAGCTGTCAGTGGGAGGCAGATTTTCCAGCCACTGCATGCTCTTCGCACTGCTGAGAAAGCTCTCTTACCAGGTTATCATCCATTCGAGTGGAAACCTCCCTTGAAAAGCGTTCTCCGCTAACACAGAAGTGGGAATTATAGATGGACTATCAGGATTGCCACTCTCAATTGATGACTACCCGGTAGACACAATTGCAAAGAGATTTCGATATGATACAGCCTTGGTTTCTGCCTTAAAGGACATGGAAGAAGAGATCTTGGAGGGCATGAAAGCAAAAAACCTGGATGACTATTTGAGTGGTCCCTTCACTGTGGTAGTAAAAGAGTCCTGTGATGGAATGGGAGATGTCAGCGAGAAGCACGGAAATGGGCCTGCAGTCCCAGAGAAGGCCGTTCGCTTTTCTTTTACAGTTATGAACATTTCTATAGCCCATGGGAACGAAAAGGTAAGGATCTTTGAAGAAGTAAAGCCCAATTCAGAATTATGTTGCAAGCCCTTGTGCCTTATGCTGGCCGACGAATCGGATCATGAAACTCTGACGGCGATCCTGAGCCCTCTCATAGCAGAAAGAGAGGCTATGAAGGACAGCGAACTGCTACTCGAAATGGGAGGCATCCTGAGAACATTCAAATTCATCTTTCGGGGTACAGGATACGATGAGAAACTTGTACGGGAAGTGGAAGGGCTGGAGGCCTCAGGTTCCACCTACATCTGTACCCTCTGTGATGCGACCCGCCTGGAGGCGTCCCAGAATTTGGTCTTCCACTCCATCACCAGGAGCCACGCTGAAAATCTGGAGAGGTATGAAATATGGAGGTCTAACCCTTATCATGAATCTGTTGATGAGCTCCGTGACAGAGTGAAGGGTGTTTCAGCCAAGCCTTTTATTGAGACTGTGCCCTCCATAGACGCGTTGCACTGTGACATTGGCAATGCAACAGAGTTCTACAGGATTTTCCAGATGGAGATTGGTGAAGTCTACAAGAATCCTGATGTATCTAAAGAGGAGAGGAAGAGATGGCAGTTGACTCTTGACAAACACCTCAGGAAGAAGATGAACTTAAAACCGATGATGAGGATGAGTGGAAACTTTGCGAGAAAGCTCATGTCTAAAGAGACGGTAGAGGCAGTATGTGAATTAATAAAGTGTGAGGAAAGGCATGAAGCCCTGAAGGAACTAATGGACCTTTATCTGAAAATGAAACCAGTGTGGCGATCTTCATGCCCTGCCAAGGAGTGCCCAGAATTGCTGTGCCAGTACAGCTACAATTCACAGCGTTTTGCTGAGCTCCTGTCTACAAAGTTCAAGTACCGATATGAAGGCAAGATCACCAATTATTTCCACAAAACCCTTGCTCATGTTCCTGAAATCATTGAAAGAGATGGGTCCATTGGTGCCTGGGCAAGTGAAGGAAACGAGTCTGGAAACAAACTGTTTAGGAGGTTCCGGAAAATGAATGCCAGGCAGTCCAAATTCTATGAAATGGAGGACGTCTTGAAGCATCACTGGCTATATACATCTAAGTACCTCCAGAAGTTCATGAATGCTCATAAAACATTAAGAAGCCAGGGCTTCACCATCGATCCAGAGGATAGTTTAGGTGATTCCTTGCCGCTGGAGGTCTCTATGGAAAGCAATGATTCAGAGGAACTCTAAACGTAAAATGTGTTTGGCGTTGGGTTTGTGATGGGGTCTTCCTGTGAGGAGACAGCTTCCTTCTCAGGCCTGTAGAGGTACAGGGAAGCGTGAAACTATCATCTCTATACTCTGTATAAAGGTGCTGAGTGGAGTTTAATAAAATACTGTGTCTGTTGGGAGCTTCCAAAGGAGGCAATGCAGTGGTGCATTTACCAGTTATTATGTGAGAGGGAAGTGGAAACAAATTGCAAAGAAGCATCTCCAGTTTATTTTGGTCTCAGCATTGTTTATACATGAGAAAGCCAAAGTAAACAAGGTTTTATAGAGAGCAATACTTCGGAATGAATATGATTCTGGAGAGTTATGACACTTGCTGAAGAAGTGAGCATGGCTATTTGTTCTGTTTGCATTTTTTAAACTATTTTGCTATTTACTTTTCAAGAGGGTTTGATTATTTTATTGATGGTTATTTGGCTTTTATAAGTCAAGGTCTGGCAGTGAGACAGTTGGGTAATTGTTCTGGGATAAAGTTCAGGTATTTTTATATGATATATTGACTAAAGATGCAAACTTTGATTTCAAACATTTAAAAGTATTATTTAACACTTAGATTGTAGTACTGCTTAGGAGCAGGTGGTGGTATCGGCAAGGTAATTTACTATATAAAGATATAGGAAAGGTAACTATAATATTTTAAAGATATTTTTATCATAGTCCATTTACTCTAAAATGCAAACCAGTTTTTGTGCTCCTAAATCAGCATTTGCAGTGCCTTGTGCTTATCTCACTATTCAAAGTACACTCAAGCTCTGCTGTGCAGCTTGTTGCTTGATATGCATTTTAGATTTTGATGGTAACCTCAGCATATAGGATAATTTGTATCTGTAATTTTAATGGGTGGATTCCTGGCCTTACTGAAGGCACCAGTAAATCGTCATGAATACCCCCAGTTTCACCAGGTGACTACGAGTCACAGCAGAGTGGTGGTTTCTTAGGGGATGGGCATTAACTCGACCAGGTACATGTCAGTGTTCAGATTTTCTCTGTTAGAATAGTTCACTGACCACTTGCGACGTGCTCTGACAGTGTGCCGTACTGAGCTTTTTCACATCTGGGATGTGTCACTTACAGTCTCATTTTCTAGATATATAAAATGGGAATGACATTTATTAACCTCAAGGATAGTTTGCATAAAGGCGTAGTGGGAAAACAATGAACTGCAGCTGATAGTATTTTACATCATTACAACAATGTTTAGTTAGCAGTTTACATATCTTACACTATATTAGGAGCACCATTACGTTGGTGGTATTTGCCTTTCTGAAGTGTCATTGCTACGTGACTGGAGGCCGCTTCGATCAGATGAGATTGCACTGGTAATCCTTGTGGATAAAGTAGTTTTTCACTAGCAGCTATGGGTAAAAGGGTTTCAAAGTTAACTTGTATAAGCTTTGAGATTTGGAAACTAAAATATTTCTGGACCTATCACCTCTGTAAGGGAACAGGTCTAGACCTTCATTCAGCAAAGTGTTCAAGTGCAAGCTTACATTCAAGTGCGTGAGTTGACCATTGAATGCAAGCATGCTTACATCTTAAAAATATTTTAAAACATTAAAATTATATGAATTTAATTTAATGATTTGGTCAAGAAATATACTCAGAAGTATCTGAGATAACTCTAAACCACTTAGCCTTTCTGAAATAAGAATAAATGCTTGAACAATCAAAGCACAGATCTAAAAGAACCTGCATTTTGTTTTTATTTTGATGTGGCAGGAGCTGGTTTGTGAGTGTGGAGATACAACATGTTTAAAGAATGGATGGTCTGAGGTTTGAGTAGTAGCATCTTGCTCAGTGTTATTTAATCCATCTTTGAAGGTCTGGTATTTACTGTTTATGGACTATGAAAAAGTAGGATTAAGTGTTAGTAACTAGTACAAATATTAATAATATTCTGATTATGCCTTTCATTAGATTTTATTACTTTAAATCCTAATTTTTTAAGTATTTTGTAATTTAGGATTTGGTTTTTATATGTTGTCTTTAAACATAGTTTAATATTAAGTCAAAATTTTGGGCTGGAAATAATGCCTTTTGCTTAAAAGTTTTTCTTGTCTAAGCAGTCATAAGAACTGCAGTTTTTTGTAGGTTTTACCATATACATCTGCACTTACTGAGTGTTCTTTTCAAGATTAAATTATTTCTTTCAATTCTTTGAATAAAACAAGTATTTCCCAGAGAGCATAACTGCCAGGTTTACATAAGTATCATTTTTTACCAATAAATGCAGACAACAAGTACTGCTGTTTCCCATAGTGTAAAAATATCAGGTATAGGATAAAGAACATCCTTTAGATGTAAATGCAGACAAAACTTTTTTTTTTTTTTTTTTTTTTTGTCTATAGTGTTTAATTATGCAAATACTTGCATGCTTTTTTTTTCTTCTTCTTCTTTGTGTGCTTATTTGGGGGCAACTATATTACCTTAGGTTTTATTCTTGCCTCTACTTGAATAACCAATAACCCAAAGCCTGGTTTAACAGTCCTGACTCAGCTCATGATGGTTTTCACTGCCTTTAAGTGGTTTATATATTCATGCTGCCTTTGCACAGGAGTGAACTTCACCCACAAGAAATCTTGACCTGTTCCTTGCATTGCATATGTGCCACTGGAGAGACAGGCCAGACTTTGGTCATTTTGCACATGTAATTTCAGTGACTTCACTGACATTTTCAAATTCCGAATTCACTTTTACAAGCCGCTTATACAAGAGCCAGCGATTCGTCTCACTGCCTTCAAAAGGGCTGTGTAATGTTATCCATTTATGTATGATTTCTCAAGACCAGCCTTAGATCCTGGCTGAACTCAACAGGCTGAACTGTGCACGGGACAGGCCATGGGCATTCAGGGACATGCAAAATTATTCTTTTGTGAGATGCTATTGAGCCATCAGGACACACTTCACATTCCACCAAGTATGGGAAGAACAGTTGACACAGACAACTATTACTATTCTTTTTCCTTTTCCTTAGACTTGAATCTAGTTTAATCTTTTCTTTTTTTTTTCCCCTTGTTGACGTTTCCTGTAAATCAAGAGACTCTCTTTGAGACTTTTGAACTCATTAAAACAAACAGCATTGAAAGAGTAGGTACCTGCAAGTGAAGCTTTGTAAACAGGAATAAAATAACAATGCTGCTTGCGCACTGGCATGCATCTGAAGGCAAACAAATTTTGACTGCAGACAGGTGCATCATTTGTTTACTCAGGCTATTGTTAAGCATTTTGGTTTTGAAGAGGCTTTAGAAAAGTGGAGACACTTTTATTCATGGCACTCTCTCAAACCTTCACATTTTCTTTTTTAATGCTAATACTTGGTACAAATCCTTCAGTAATTACTTCATGGTGAATGCTTTTCTTGTTTTGAAATTGTATTGACTGCATTTTTTTTTTTTATACAATGACATTATGTATCTTATTTTGTTTGGTTTTATTCAAGGGCTCCATATTGTGAATTGCTTTGTTATGAAACGATGTGAACTATGTTGGAAGCTATGATTCTGGTTTCACACATTTTTTCCTCACAGGACTAATTCTATTGACTTTAAGCAAATCAGCGTTGACTTCTAGTCAGGTAGTTTGGACACAAATTCTGGATATTTACAGCATCCCAATTTCTGACTGCTCTGAGTCCTGTGTGATGTCTCACAGCACGGCTTCATCATTTTGCTTTTTCTTATTGTACCAGTTGCTTTATTCATAAAATCTGTTTAAAATAAAAGCCTTGTAAATATTGAAGTTTCTGGATTTGGATTTCTTATCAGTTTTTCACCTGTGCACATAATTTCATGATAACAGTCTCCCTTTTCATTCAAACTTTGGATGCGTTTCATATTTGGACAGTTCTAATACTCAGAGAGTACAGCTGAGATCCCAGTCCTGTTCCAAAGTTACCAAGTTAACATAAATGAAGATTGCTCTGTGCATCTCAATAGTCCTTTTAGCACCTTTCTTCATAGGCAGCTGTTTGAGAGAAAAATAAAACCAGTTTCATTTAGTCTGTAAATTACTTCTGCTTCATTTACAAATGCCACCCTGGTGTTTGTTTAAAATCAGCCTTGCACTGTTACATCCATACTGCTACGTTAAGCTTCTTTACTGGCTTCTATGCATCCTTGACATCCAATTTTGTCTCCCTGACATAGACTTAGCTGCAAAAATTAGTTTCAATCTACCTTTTAGTTTGTGATTTTTAGTTCCCCTTTACTCCAGTTAGGAAAACCTTACTTCCCCTGCAATGATATCTCAGGGTCAAAAAACGTACATAAACCAACTAGTCTGGATGGAATTAATGATAAGCAAATTGAGCATTTACATTATTAGCTACCTGATTTCCTGCTGCAATCAGGTAATTAGACATCTAATTCCTAGACTTTATGTAACCAACTTAGTTCTTTCAGCTGACCGTGAATAAAATTTGCTGGATGGAAAAAATTGGAAACCATAAAAAAACAAACAAACCCAATCCCCAGAGAGCTTCCTGGTAAATTAGGATGATTTAATTCCTTTATTCCTAAATCCATAATAACTGACTGAACTTTACTTTCCATGTATTCTCATTAGAACCAGAATCAGATGAAGAATAATGAGGCCTAACATCGTTCTTCTTCAGCGCACAGCTTCAGATGACTGAGTGTGGCACGATTTTCAGAGCTGACCAGCTGCAACTCCTGAGTGGGGCAGCTTCTCTACCTTCTGCATCAAGCTTAATATCATCTGTAGTCCGAAAAGACACAATAGAAAGGATTTAATCAGTACTTTATCTAGCAGCACCAGGAGAGAGTCCAAGAGGTGAGATCGCTGTATTTTCAGTGCCTGGCCCTTCCTGCGAAGATGGGCATTTTGAGCCAGTGGACAATACAAGGACAGCTATCACCTGAAGGTGGCCCTGCACACGTGGTAGTGGCCAGTGTTTTCTTCCTGTGTACACGTGTGTTTTGAGAAATTTGAAGGTTTATAACATGATTATCTTGCTTTTTGTTAAAGAAAAGAGGGGCTTTGGTGTCACAATTTTCAAATGCCAAACACGGATACCAAGCTGGAGTTTGATTTTCAGGAGCTGTTGCTCAATAGATTCTCAGAAGTTTAGTTTTGTTTGAAATGGGACAGGGTAGGAATAAAATGTGAAGGAAGCTATAGTCACCTATCATTAAACACAGAAGTAAGCAAGTCCTGTCTGCACTGCACCGAATCTACCAGGAAATATTTTTACAGATTCTGTTTCAATCTGAATTCAATCTTTTCCTTTGGGCTTCCAGTAGCGTTATTTCCACTCCTTTCAGTGGTCTATTGGTGCAATGAGTCACCCCAAACTATGACACATGCTTTAGTGCTACTACTAAAGTTTGTTCCGTGCCTTTCCTTTAGATTAATCAGGTGCTTCGGGGTCCAAGTACTTTTCACAAGCAGTAAAACCCATATATTATTCTCTTAAAAGCTGGTAATAACAACATAGTGTTACTAAAATGTGACTGGGAACCCTGATGCTGCTTGTTGTGGTTACAAAACACATAGGTCAGTTGGATGCAGATACAACAGCGATTTACTTCAGCACTCAAATCTGCTTCATTTTATCTTCTAATTCTACCCTGCATGAGGAAGAAACATCTTGTATTGATCAGCTGGTTTTGAAGACGATCAATACTCTAACAAGCACATGCCTCAAAAGCACCATCAGAATTATTAGGGAATTAAATATTTTCTGCAATCTTGAATGCTATGTCAAGTGTCTTCACTACAGGTTGTTGATCATGTAACTCTGTATGTTTGAGTCCTTAGGAATATTACATTTTACCTTTCTTATTACTTTCTTTTCCAGCAGTAACTCTAAGCTGTGATTTAATGCTTGTTGTACTACCCTTTGCTGTGAGGCTGGGACATGGTTTGACTAAGCAATTTCTCCCTCCTTGCCAAGTAACACATACATTAAAAAAAAGAAGGCACAGACCAAACAAATTCGTTGCTCAATGATGGGCCTCAGGACTTTGAGATATCGATGGTAATTGGGAGAGGTAACAGGCAAAACATGGACTGGGCATCGCCAGGGAGTGGAATAATTGTGAGGAGTGCTTTGCTGTTCTAAAATGGGGAAGGGGCTTGTTGTTGTGTGTGCATAGTGTCCACCTGTTGGTGTTGTGATGATGTTCTTTAATTTTTGCTGAGGGTATTTTTTGTTTTTGATGCAAATGAAGTTTGTCACGTGTGCTAAATGTATATTTTAAAGACAATTGAGCTGAGTAAGACCTATGACATGTAAGGGGATGTTGTTTATTGAATTTCACCAGTTTGAAGGGACTTCACATGGCCATAATTTTCATGTATTCCTTCGGAAAACACAGCATTATGTACTCTGAGCTCAGAAAGGAGCATGACAAAGGAAACAAGAAACTGGCATTAAATTCTATGGGTTTATACTACTATCAAACTGATGAGAGGGGTCTCGGGATGATCTACCTCCCACTCCTAAGCTCTTCCCATATTATAACCTCCCTCAGCATATAAATAGGTTGGAAACTGAAATGTTGTCTTGTTGCCCTTTACTATCCTCCACTGTTGACTTGTGAAGGTGTCAAGGGGAGTACTGTGCACACACATTTGTGTTGATGGGAACACATCGGTGCTTTGCAAAGGAGTGGCTGCTCAGGGTCTGCACATACTGCTCTGGTGGCTGACAGCTGCTCCTGTTGCTCTTCTGTTTTATTCAGGGGTCCAGCACAAGAACTAGAATGTGGATACTGAGCTATTAATGTTGGCTCACAAAAGTTCAGAGGATAGTATTGATTTTTTGAAAAGATGTTTGGAACAGTAATAAAAATAAAAAATAGTCAAGAGTGATGAGGCTTTACAGATAGCCAATAAAAGGATCCACAAAAAAAGTTAGTAAACTCTTGGGTTATTCAACCTTGACAACATCCTTTTCAATCTGAATCCAATCTTGTCCTCATGCTTTGAGCAGCCAGCTGCATTTGTTTCCACCTTCACAATGCTCCAGTGGCTCAATGACTCATTCTGAGCTGCAGCTTGCACTTTCGTACTTTCACACTCTACACAGTCACCCTTGGGGGAGCAGAGAAAGTTTAGTGGAGTACCTGAAGTAATAATAAGAGTTGTGTTGATCAGAAGGGACTTCTTCTGAAGTCAGTGGAAACTCACAGCACGGGGCGGCTGTGAAGCCAGACTCCTTATTAGACTTCAGATGGACCTCCCAACCACACATGCACACATGTTGTCCTGTCATAGACTTTGGGATTTATAATGTTTGGTTTAGCCCATGAGTAGATGGGAAAGAAACAAAACAAAACAAAAAAACAGCACCCATTTTTATTATAAACTTTATTAGCTGATATATATTTAAAAATACAAACAAAAGTCAGTTGTTGAGCACAGTGGTTTAAAAAAGGAATTTATTTTTTTTACTGTGAGGTGATAGTCCATAACTCTAGCCAAAACTGACATACAAACATTCAGTACCTTTCAAAACAGAAAATGGATTATCCAGAATGAAACGCTCCATGTTAATCTCCATGCTTTAGTGGATGCAGGGGGGAACACAACTGCTGAGGATAAGGAAAAGGCTGAAGTTCTTAATGCCTTCTTTACTTCTGTCTTTACTAGCCAGACCACTCATCCTTGGAGTGCTCAGCTGCCCAACCTGGAAGTTTGAGATGGGGAGCAGAAGAAACCTCCCACAGTTCAGGTGGAAACAGTTAGAGACCTGCTGCTCCACCTGGAGTGTCACAACTTCAAGGGGCCAGATGGGATCCACCTGAGGGTGCTGAGGGAGGTGGTGGATGTGACTGATGGGCTGCTTTCCGTCACCTGGAGAGGTCCTGGATGACTGGAGACTTGCTAATGTGATGCCTATCTACAAGAGGGATGTAAGGAGGACCCAGGGAACTCCAGGCCTGTCAGCCTGACCTCGGTGTCAGGAAAGGTGATGAAACAGGTCATCTTGAATGCAATCACGCAATGTATGTGGGACAACTTGGGGGGATCAGGCCCAGTCAGCATGGGTTCATGAAAGGCAAGTCCTGCCTGACCAACCTCATCTCCTTCTATGACTGGGTGACCTGCCTGGTGGATGAGGGAAAGGCTGTTGACGTAGTCTACCTAGACTTCAGCAAGGCCTTTGATACAGTCTCCCACAGCATTCTCCTGGAGAAGCTGCAGCCCATGGCTTGGACAGGCACACTCTGCTGGGTTAAAAACTGGCTGGATGGCCGGGCCTAGAGAGTGGTGGTGAATGGAATGGCCTCAAGTTGTGCCAGAGGAGGTTCAGGTTGGAAATTGTGAGACATTTCTCCTCAGAAAGAGCAGTCAGGCATTGGAACGGGCTGCCCAGGGAAGTGGTGGAGTCACTGTCCCTGGGGATGTTCAAGGAGTTGGACCTGGTGATTAGGGACATGGTTTAATGTGTGACATGGGTAGTAGGGTGGTGGTTGGACCAGATGATCTTGGAGGTCTTTTCCAACCTTAATGATTCTTTGATTCTATGACTCTATGATATGTAAGCTTTTCATTTTGGAAGTCCCTGAAGAAAACTGACCCTCAGTGTCTGAATATTTCGTTATTTCTGACACAAGGGACTTAAGCCATCACTTCAGTTTAAAACCAGATTAATTATTCTAGTTCTAGTTCATTACCTTAACATAAAATCAGAGTAAGGCAGTTATAAATTAGGCCAAATATTTGTAGAACTACTCACTAAGATAAAACATTAAAATGGACAATGTGGTTTTTATTTATTTATTTATTTATTATGGACAGATGCTAACACTACTGAGTACATGGGATAAGGTCTTATCCTACAAGCAGTTCTACTAAATTCAGTGGGGTAACTGTGGATTTGGTTGTAGTATAAAATACAGAACAAAGTTAACACTATCTGGCTGTATGTTTGCACAATGCCCTCTGTAATGAATTTCCTGCCTGGATATTGCAAAAATATACATAAGAAACAAAATAAATTAATGAGCTTTGAAATTAAATTGCAATGATAATTGATTATTTTAATTGATAATTATAATCAATTAAATAAAAGATCCATGTCTTTGACTCCCAGTTGAATACAAATCAGTGGTGTAAATCTATTCAAATAATCTCCGAAGAAAGGACTTTTTCACTGGTGTTGTTAAATTCATGGTTTTCTTTTTGCGCAGTGGTTTCATGGGTTGCTTTTTCAGATGCATCGCCTTTTTGGGAGTTTGTAGCCCTTTATTAAGATCAACATGTTCATTGCAGAAATACTTGATATTTGCTTCTGAGAGATGTAGGAGCATGCTCTCTGACAGATCCATACATTGTGCATGGACCCAATGGCCAGCCCCATGGGAACACAGGATCATTGCAGGCTTATTGAGTTCTGTTGAATAGAAAGGCACCCAAGTGTTAATATCAATATTGCAGCTGGCACAGCAGGTGATCCAGTAACCTGTTTCTGATTCATCTTCTTCATCATCTTCATTGTAAGTGTCAATATCATCAACATCAAAGCTACTGGCTTCTGCACTAAAACAAAACTCTTCTGAATCTTCAAACGGAGTGGAGTCTCCTTGGTCTTCGGTAGATGCCTGACTGCAAATTTGTGCTGTCAGTTCTTCCTCCTCGTCCTCTTCTGCTCCTTTGCATCTCAAAATGTAGAAGTAGTTTGCATCTGAGATTAACTGTTTGTTGGCCCCTGGAATGCCCAGCAACACAGACCCTTTGCCCATATCACAGCCAAACCACATCCTGCAGTGTTTAATATCTGGTGTCCAGTCCGGGCTTGCCCTTTCAACAATCTCTATCTTATCATCTTCCAAAACTATGGTGTTGCAGACCAACCGTTTCTGGCTGTCAGACTGGTAGCCCCCAACAAGGACAAATTCGGTATCACTGGTCTGAGTCACAATAGCACTTGACACGGATATTCCCCCTGGCAAGACACTGCAGGTCAGAGCTGGGCTGCCTAGGGGGAGGTCAACTTTTAGCTTGTATAAACTGGGGGACCGGGTGTTATTTTGAAGTGAATGGCCTCCCAAAATGTAGATTGTGTCATTCCTGGCAACTGAAACATGGAAAGAAAGTCCATCTTGAAGCTCTGGAAGTATGTATGATGTACAGCATCCAAACTCAAAATCAACAAGAAACACAGATGGCAAACAGTCAACCACACTGTTCCATTTTTCAGTGGTTCTCTGTGCAAGAGGAATATATGATCTACCTCCAAATATAACGCTCATGCTTTTTCCCCGGCTATGAACTACGTTAATTGTATGTCCATATCTAGCTTCAGGGACATCTCCACCCAGATCTTTCTCAACACACTGAAAAGTGGTTTTCTTGCTAGTTTTGCTTACTAGACTCATAATGTAGATCTTGTCAGAAAGATCATTGTTAGGCGTTTTCCCACCATGAATGATATACTGGTGCTTATCGGACTCCTCATTGCCTCTAAACGTGCAAATTGCGGGGTAGCGGAGAGGGGGAAGATAACAGGAATCCTTAGAGAAGAAGACAGGTTTCATTTTGAGCTCATTCTGCTTTATATCAAGAAAGAAAACACCAGTGGGGCAGGATCTCTTCGGCCACCCTTTCTGCCCAAAAAAGAAGACATGCCCATCAAAATTCAGCAGCGAACAGCCTGGCTGAAGCAAGGAGGAATTACTGACAGCTGACACCATCTGCAGTGACATTGCGTCCGCTGACTGGGCCATGTTTTGGTATCTGAGAGAAAAAAAAAAGGCGTGAAGGAAGCGTGTTGTAAGTGCTCTAGGAAAGCGTTTAACTTGACTTGAATAAATGAAGTGTGCATTTTTGGTTCTGTGAGAACTGTGTAGGAGTTCTGCGGAATTCTGTAAAAAACACGGCCTGGAATTGAAAAGCAGAACACTTGGGCAGGGGCGGGACAGGGACAGGGACTGGGACTGGGACAGGGACTGGTACAGACTCCTCAGCCCCTCGGGCCGCTCCCCGCAGCCATGGAGGCCCCTCAGCGGGCCCCCCGTTGCCATGGAGGCAGCGGCCGCGCGGGCTGCTGGGGTTTGTAGTCCTCGCCTGGCCGCCGGAGCAGGCCCGGGCCGGGCCGGAGGAGCGGGACTGGCGGGGTGAGTGGGGCGGCGGGCGGGGAGCAGGAGCAGGGGCCCTGCTGAGTGTCTGCCGGCGCTAGGAAGCCGCTGGGGGGGAAGCTGCCCGCTCAGGGGTGCATATCCAGCGGCTGTGCAGTGTGTGCCTTCCTGAGCAGGCTGCGCGGGCCGGGGCTTTGCTTTGTGTTCACGGATCTGCAGTGCGCTGCGCAGCCGGGCTGGGCAGGAGCTGCGGGCTAGCTTGGCACAGCCCAGGTGCTAGGGGAGGAAAACAACCGGCCCCTTCGGTTGGCCTGTGGTGACAGCAGGGGTGTGCCTTGTAGTCGATCCTTCAGTGAAGCCCTTCTCAAATCTGTGTGGTTTCAGGTTGTAAACCGTCTTTCAAGTACAATATTTGGAAAATAAAAAGCAAAAAAAATCAAAAACAAACAAACAAACAAAAAACAAACAAAAAAAACCAACAACAAAGCAAGCAAAACAAACAGCAGCAACAACAAAACAAAAATAAAAATTGCATCTTAAAATATAGTTCCTTTCTTTTTTTTTTTTTGGATATCTTCAGGTTTCATATTTTCATTGTACCTGCTTTTCATTTTGCTGTAATAGCACAAGCAAGAAGCGTAAGGTTTCTTCTTTCAGGGAGGACGCCTGTCTTCTAGTTGTGAGCCAGCAAAACCTGGGGGTTCCAGGACAGCTGCGTGCAGTGAGATTCCTGTGAAATCATGGGAACTGACGGCGCCGGCCACATCAAATCACCATCCGAGTATGTTCTCATGCACAGCAAGAACTGTTGTACTGCGTTCCTGCACTGCCTGCCAGCTCCACTTTCTAGGATGCAAGCTTGTGCATAGGTCTGCTAGTCAATGCTTTCAAATGTAGGTAGGCCTGGTCAGATGTGCTTGGACCACAGCACATGGATAGGGCTGACGTGGCCACTACTGAGTCTATTTAAATATATATATGAAAATATATAGTGTATATACACACCAGTCTTTTTGTACACTGTGGAATCATTGAAGGATCACAGTCAAGCAGTGTTCGCTGTATAGCCAATTCCTCTGTCCTAAAGGCGGTATTTTTTTCTGAATTTAGATTCCTGTTCAGAAGTACTGCACTGTAGATGAAGTTCAGTTAGGATGTAATTAAATTAGTTAACTCTGTTCTGAGGATGCTGGTGTATACAGCAGGTTTTGTACTTGTTTGCATGGAGAGAGATTTGCCAGGTTGTTTTCCTGCAGGCAAGATGTTGAACAGAAATCTCTGCTGCTTGCTTCTTACCACCACTCAAACATGGTCTTTCTAGAGGAGTATGCACTAATTTGGGTTTACTGAGGTGAATGTGAGATTGACAGACACACAAAATTCACAGGTTAAATAAACACAAGCGCACTTCCTCCTTGTCATCCCTTAATGTTCCTTGCATTTTATATAAGCAAGCACATCAGTACATAAAGCAGAAAATATTTATCCTAGATTCTGTGACAGATGCATCTCCTTAGGGACTTGCTGGAATTGCTTTGGCTTTCGAGACTGTCCCATGTTAATTGTGGTGACACCATGTGGTTGGGCTGTGCTCACCTCCACTTCTGGCCTTCCAACACCACTGATGCCCTTGGGGCAATGCTTCTTTGACCCTGAACAGTTTTAGGGAGCCAAATTTTTTTTTTTTTTTGGTGGCTTTATGCTTAAAACCATCTCACTGTGGAGCGGGCTTGGCATTAGTGCCAGTGTGAAGGGAAACACAAATGCCTTAGCCGTGGTGCAGCACAAGATAGAGAGGAAAGGATACTACAGGAAGAAAAAGAAGAGGTGGATGAAGAGAGAAGGATGGAGTTAAATAAACAACCACCGGTTACGGTGACTTGAGTCATGCTTTATTGTATTTGGTATATTTTTAAAAGACCAAGCTCCAAGGATTGTACAAATAAGTGAGAATCTCAGCATTAATTTTATAACCCCTGAATTTGAAAAGTGAACTGTGGAGATCTGAGCTAGAAGCTAAAAAGAAGAGAAAAACAAGTATTCTCTCTATTTTAGTTTGAAATCAAATTTATTATTTTGAACTGAGTTTTTCAGTTAATAGTTGTATTGCAAAAGGATATTACAAGAAATTGAGATTTAGATAAATTCATCGGGAGATCTATTTAAGGAGGATCAAATTAAGAGAGAAGGTGCTTTTCTAAAAGCACTAGCTAATATGATTTGAAATGTTCTTGCTATGGAAATAGAGGGACATATTTAAAATCTGGTGTGTGGGGGATTATTTCAGAAAGTATATTAATCATTCAGTAAGAATTACAGGATGCGTGTGCCTTAGAAAGAAAGAGTAGGATTCAGATGCCTAAACATCGAGTGATACTTAGATGCCTTTGGCTATCCTTGGCTTTTAGCTTCTGCTGCTGAAGGCTGCAGGTCTCCCATAGGATCTGTGCACTAGGTCCTAGCATGTCTAGGGTTTAGAAAATGTCACTTCTTAAGGCACTGAGTCACTCCCAGAGTGTGTTTACCACATACTGTTCACTTTGACCATATGTAGTAATTGATCACCTGTGTGCTGTGCCTGCTCCCCAATTAGGCAATGAAAGCATTTTAAACAGGAGAACAATGAGCCATCAATACTGTTGTTTAGTATGACCTTCCATGTTAATATTTATTTTGTCACCATTAAAAAAACCATATGATAATTTCTTGGTAGTCTGAATGCTGCCAAATAGTGAATCAAAAGTCCCAGGTACAAAATGAAGTATTTCAACAGCACCGAGTAGATACGGAGAAAAAATGGATTGCAGCATAGCTTGGAGTCTTCGTTGGTAAATGCTCATCGCTAACCATCAGATTCTGTCATTAGTTTACAGTTATTTGTAACTTGGCAAGAAAAACAGTAATCTACAGTAGAATTAAATTTGTTTTGCAGTATTGTGTATCTTTTCTTTCTGTCTGACTGATCTGTGGGGTCTCCATTTGCAAAAGGAAATAGAGCATATCCCTGACAAGCAAGTGCTGTTCCCAAATTCTTCACAGTCAAAGTAGCATCCAGACACCTACAGAACTTAGAAGCGCCCAATAAGTAGGATTAAGAACAGGAAATTTCTATATACTATTTCTCAAAACATTTGCTAAGTGTATCAACCAAGTTTGCTTTGGGCAAAACAATAAGGCAGACGTACCTGGCTGATTGAGTGCTTTTGCGTCCTCCGAAAGATTTCTATGTTATTGGGATTCAAATGTGAGCACTTTGAGGATCTTCTCTGACAGCACGGGGGGCTTGTGGCATGGAGGGGAATCTGTCTGCTTAATTTGCAGATGTGCTCCTGAGAACTCAGTCTGCTGTGGCTAACTGGCTGTGACCGTTTTTGTTGTTTTTTTTTTTTTTGTCTTTCCTCTCTTGTCTTCAGATGGCACAACAAGAAACCCGTCAGCCTTTAGAAGTGTTAACTCTTTGCAGTTGAACCAGACCAGAGTGGCAGGAGATGTCTGTTGTTTAGATTGTAAAAGCTTGCAGTAGGGCATAGTTTAATTCTTTACACTGCTAAACCTGTGAAGCTTGTGCTCTCTTTTGGAATTTTCCAATGCCAATGTAATGGAGAATATAAACACAAGTAATTTTTGAGTTCAAAGGCAAAATCATTTCAATATCTAGTAAAAGGAAATAACCTTGTGCTGACTGGCACACTAACTGCTTTTCCCAGGAAGGCTCAGCTGCAAGGAGGTAGTGACATTGAAACAGAGCAAAGGAAATGGCAAATGCATGCAACCAAGTGAGTGAGGACTGACTAAAATTCCAATCCAAAGTCCACTGAAGTCATTAGAAATGCAGAAATGCTTTTTTTCCCCCTACTTTAGTGGTCTTCTGATCAGATTTTAGAGACTAATAAAAGTTTGCACACTTCTGTGGCAGTTTTCATCAGATTCACAGAGCTTTTCTCCTACAAAATGCAATTAGACTCTGCCAAGTCCTATGGGAGCATATTCTTTCAGCAGCTAGCAGCACTGGGGCACAGAGGGTAAGCCACTTGCATAACATTGCACGGCAAATAAACAGATGAACCTGGAAAACAATTCACTCTTCATAGCTCCCTGCTTCTGCTTTCCTGGACCTACTTCACCCACTCCTGAGTTACAACATCTGCTACACAGTATTTTAGAAATATCTCATCTCCCATTTGAAACTGCAGTGAGAATAGAAATAGGAAGAGCTTGAAATGGAATTTGGTTATTACAGGAAAGCAAACATACCCAATGTTTGTGAAAATCATCCTGAGACGTTGAATAACTGTAATGCATGTAGGATGTGGTGGTGTTTCTCAGCTGAAATACAACAGCTCTGAGGCACTGTGCCCTGTAACGTCCACACGGGCCTATTACTTCTCTAGTGAAACAAAGAGCAGAAGTAAACTGCACTGCAGAGTTCAAGGCTAAAGAACTTAGCTTCCCCAAAATATAAGGCTATTCAGAGCAGATCTATTTGTGTTTTTGGTAGTGCTTAGATGATATTTGACAGCTGCTTATCCGAGTGCTTGACATAGTATAACCCTTGTCTGTGTCTGCAAACAAAAGATCTACTGACAAAAGAGATAGAAATGAGAGAAAATCCAAACCTCAGTTGTCTCATTTAATACTATACATTCATTTTATTCTCCTCCTGCCAGTTGATGTCTTATCTTTAGAAATTCTTTTTCCAATTACTGTGGATGGGAAGACAGAGAAATTAAAGTTTGTTGGCAACGACACGTCAATTTTGGATGAGGATGTGGTCTGTCCAAGCTGGTCTTCTGTAACTGTCAGTGACAAACTGCTTTGGAGGAGCTGCAGGCAGCAAGTAGCTGTGGGGTAATGTATGTACAAGGCAGAAAAATCATGTTTAGAGCTGTCCAGCTCATAGCAAGAACAGAATTCAGGATTTGCATCCTGAATTTCTTTGGCAGAGAACCAATATGAAAATGAAAAAATAAACTTCTTCTTCACAATTTCTGTTTTAATAGCGTTGACCAAGGTAGTATGTTTTCAGCAGATTGCTCACTGTCACGGAAATGCTTAGTTTCACTTGATTTTCTTCTCCTACAGTTAATTAGTTAAAATAATGTGTGGTTTACGTCTTCATTCCAAATTGCATTGAGGTGTTTCCAGGCTTTTCAGCATATTTTCTGTGGGTGAAGTGCAGTCAGCTCAGAGGCAGAGGTTGGTCTCTGCGGGTGGCAGCAACGTGCTCCAGTGAGGCCAAGGAAGGCAAGGCCGTCTGACTTGTGTAAGCCTCGCCTGCAAGTGCCCGCCTGGACGTTTAGCCGAGACCTTGGGGCTGAAGCCTGTGGAGAAACAAATGGCACGGGGCGTCCAGTGTCCTAAAATCTCATCTAAAACCACCAGTAGCCAGTATTTAGGGCAGCTGATCACACCCAGCTGTGCTTTGACTGCGACATCCCAGCGGCCCCCATGCTTCACCGGTGTTTGGTGCGCAGGAAGCGTTACCATTGTCAGGCCTCCGGCTTTAAAGTGCACAGCACTCTTGAAGCGATTGGAAACTCATCAAAAAACAAGAACAGCAACAAAAAAATCAGCCCTCTGATCATGCCCGGGGCAGACACAGTAGCTCGGAAATCCCCCAGGATCAATGTGCCTGCTGGCAATTAGAGCCCTCAGATACAGGCCTTAAAAGCCCGTAGGAGCTGCGTGTGAGAGGCGCGGGGCTTTGACCACCACGAAGGTCGGGTCTGGGGCTCGGTAATGAGCTTACATAAGCAGACGCAGCTCCTGTTCGAGCAAATTGCTGATGCATTAAGTGCGTGCCCTTAAGACCTTATCCCGCTGAAGGTAGTGGCAAACGTCCAGTTGATTTAAGCGGGATTAGCTGTTGCAGATCACGCTGAATTGAGAGGCACTGCAAGAAATGTCCTTTGAAAGGTTTTGTGCTTTGTGATCGAAACTTTTTAGTTAGCTTGTCCCTGTGGTTGGGTAGACCCACAGCTGGCTGTGGCCAGGGCTTCCTGCGGTCAGGCTGGTGTGGCCCTGCCGCCCCACAGCTGGAGGGCTGCAGGGGGAGGAGGAGGAGGAGAAGGAGAAGGAGGAGAAGAGGGAGAAGTAGGGCAGGACTGCGGGCAGGGATGGCTTGCTTCTGTGGCTGTAGTTCTGCAGGTGTCCAGGCAACAAGGGAACAGCTTACTGGAGAGTGGGTAACCTTTCTGTGCTGCCCCACTGAAAACGTTTGGTGCCTTTCTCACTACACTCAAGAACTCACAGGATCGATCCCTTCCCTTAGCCCACTTTCCAAGTGCCATCCTGAGATGCTTCTTAGAGTGACATCCTAGGATGTCCATAGGCAACAAAAAAGGCATTTATCTAAGGACATGCAGGAGCTCCAGCTTTGCATGCCTCCTTGCTTAACTAGCCAGGGCAAAAGAGTCCTGCAAAGCCAGGTCGTCGTAGTGCAGACCAGCATGGGAATGCTCTGTGGGTGAGAGCTGCTACAGAAATATTTGTTGCTTTGTCCTGTGTTGTGGGTTGTAAGACAGTGTGGTTGCTTTTATGAGATGTTAGTTAAATCTGAAGTATTAAAGACTCCTTTGAAAAAGGTTGTGCGAGGTTTAGTTGCTGTGTTAGCTGCACAGGGAAAAAGATCAGGCAGTGTCCAGCATAGAAGAAGTAACAATAATGTATTTGTGTTCAATCTGATTTGTACAGGCATAGTCTATAAAATCTTGAGAACAGGTGCATTTAGTGATGCTTCCCATGAGCCTGCAAGTGATCTATAAACAAATATTTCTTATTTTAATCAAGAATGATTTTTGATAGGTCAAGTTCATATTGTAGCAACCTGACTTTAACCTATGCCAAAAGGACTAGAGAAGTGTTTTTTTTATTTTTTCTTTTTCAGTATAATAAAATTATGTGAGGCTTTATTGACTTTGTAGAGAGGAGTAGCTCATTGCTCTTCCCATTTAAAAATTCAGAATCCTGATTTTTCATTCATTACCTATGTTCTGTATAAAAGAAACATAATAAAACATTCAAAACGCAGCATACACCAGGAAAACCATATTCCACCACACTTCTCTATTGTTTAATAGAACTAACAACTGCATAATTGAAATCACACTAATACTCACTTGACCTTCCTTTGTGATTCAACACAGAGATTTCTGATTTGGCTTAAACTGCTGGAAAGAAGACTGCGTTTTGAGAAATAAAATTGATTTTACACAATCTGCTGACGATCAGCAAGACTGAATGAATGATTGCCTCAAGAAACCTCATTATAGTAATTTGGATGAGTGAACAGGAGTGAAATGCAAAAAGAGAAAAGGATAGCTGCTGCTTGAATGCATCTCTTACTGATAATTTGACTCTAAATCTATCCAGAGCCAGCACAGGGAAAGGATCGGATATCTTTGTCTTACTTTCCTTGAAACCTTTGATGAAAGTTGATGCCCTTTGGGAGAAAGATAAGTTTTCGGTTCTGGTAGTAGTTACTGTCTAGCAGAACAACACAGTTGTTTCATTCTTAGAGGTGTGATTGTATCCAGTCCATACATTGCAGGTGATTCCAATCCATCATTTTAAATTAAAATAACCTAGATTAATTAATTAATTAATTAATTTATTTATTCTGGAGAGTCTTCTGGTCAGTTTGATTGTAGTTTCTTTACATCACAAAACTCTGCACCTCATACATTTTGGGGTTCATTTAAGAGAGACTCAGATAAAAAGGAGATGGGGAAACAGCAGAAAAGCAAAGTGAAATGAAAATGAAAAATATAAAAACTGTAACAGTTTGAGAGCTAAGTTTTTGAACAGTCTGAGAGCTAAGTTTTTGAACACCTCACCATGGTATCATCCATCTTAACCATATGTTCAGTTTCAGGAATAGTACTTGTTCTCCAAATACTGACATCTGTGCTTTCATTTAGGCTGATGAAATAGCACCCTGCCGTTCTTCAAAGTAATTGAAAATAGGTTGGACAGGTAGGTCTAGCTGCCAGTCTCTCCTCTCCGTTGGTTAAGAGAAGGGATGTTCTTCTGATGGAAGCTAAGCTGTTATTAGGACCTAGCTGGTTCTTCTGTCTGATATCCTGGTTCTGTAGAATTAAATAACAGCTTTGTGGCTGTGCAAGGAAAGGTTAAGACTGTGTTGCACTGTTACTTCTGTATTCCATTTTGCATTTTATTTCTTGCTTTATTTTTTTTAAACAAAACTGTGAATTTCTCATAAAAAGCAATGGAGATAAAATAAGCAGATGACTGCCAAAACTACAAATAGGGTTTTCTCCCCTCTTTTCCAATTTAGGTTTTATTAAAATATGAATAATTCAGTGCACTCATGTTACAGAATATATTCTCTGTGTTTTTTGTAAGGAAAAAATAAGGAAATGCCACCTATGAGTTATAAGTTATTTCCTTAACCATGATGAATGGCTTTGACACCTCTGGTAGCAGACCTCATATACTAGTGTCAGCCAGCAACAACTATATTGGCTGTACGAGAAATACTCTGGATTTACGGCTTTGTCTTGGGTAAAAATTTGGTCCATATTTCAGGTAAAAAACCCTGTCAGTCTTGAGAAAGACATCTTTTCCCATGCTTGGACTATCCAGGGAATTTTCTCTGCTTTTTTATTTATTTTTTATTTTTTTAAAGTAGTACTATTTTGGTGAAGCTTCTCCCGGTGCATGCATATTGAAGTACATGCTAGATGAAAATGCATAGGCTCAGTGAAATGTATGTTTAAAACCTTTAGGCATAACTTCCTTTGTAGGTTATATCAGGAGATTCCAGGTATTGAATATTAGATTATATTCTAGCAGCATCCCTTGCTGGCTTTTTCATGAGGCCGATATTCAGGTTTTTACAATTGTAATATGGCTAAAACTTTATCAAGCTGCATTCAGCACTGCATTCCCTAGCTAATCATACGGAGTCAAAACCTGGTGTTTATCCAGGGTGGTGTTGTACTATTGCTCCTCCACAGCTTGTCCAGTACAGGATGTTAAAACCCAAAGGAAGTTTCCCAAGTTGTGCAGAAAGTAAAGGCTGCACAGGAGGGTGAGAATTGAGCTAGAGCACTTTGCTAGCACCTGGTCTGGATGCTTAATTCTAAGCTGCTGGCTGGGTGGCTGTAGCCACTGAGAAAGCAGCCATTCAGTTTGGTTAATTATACAACTGTTTCCCCAAATTATCAACTTTCTATCTTATTAGAGCATTTTAGGGTAAAGGAATCTAAGCTGTATTGCCAGACCTCCTCTGATTTGTTAATAAGTCATTTGAACTCTCTGTGACTCAGTTTTTCTCATCTGTTATTGGGAATAATATTTGTTCTTCCTCATGGGACTATTGTGAAGTTTATTTCATTAGTGTTTATAAAGGACTTGGAGATCCTAGATGCCAGACGCCAAAGAAAAACTAAAAATTATTACCATTTTCTTGATTAAATATATGTATGTATATTTTTCCCTTTGACACTGGCCTTACAAATCACTGCAGTCTTTCACATAATGAAATTTACCTCAAATGATGACTCTAATAACTGAACAGGTAATGAGGAATAGAAAGGCATTGCTTCCCTCTAAAACTACTGTAATTTGCATAAACCACTCTGAGACTCTGGTAAATGATATTCTTCTTGGTCAGTCCACAGAGAGATTAATGCTTGTTTGTTTTTTGCAAAACATGAGAAGACTTAAACTTCAGGTTATGTGGCTGTGCAGGTGTTTTTACATCTTCAGAACATCAGCTGCCTTTACGCGCTGGCAGTCCAACAAAATTAGAGTTTGACATTAGAAATCGTGCTTTATTTTCCTGCTGGGCTTGGAACAATTCTTGTTCGATCTTATTTAACTTTAAAATCAGGTTCTCAGCCCATCCTTAGTGTAGTTGATTTGAGATTTTGCTGAAGATCTAAGGTTTCATTCCCCAAAGACACTTCCTAATGCTGTGGTAAATCAGGGGAAGAAACATGGGAACATGTAAAAATCATGCCCTAGGTCACTATTGCATTCTTGTATCTTTTTCATATTAATGTATGCAAACTGGTCATTTAATTATTTTAGTTAGGTTGCCACTGTGTGAGAGAATTAGGTCTGCCCGTGCCTCCACCCGTGTCTTTCTACTTCTAGTACTCTGTCTCTATATGTATAAAAATTAGTAATATTAACTAACTAATATCACAGAGCTGTTAAAATGTGCTTATACAGGTTAAGAAGAGCATCCACGATGTGTCTTCAGCTCTCAGCATTTGTTCCCTTCTCAGGATGGGGCCCTGGCCTTCCTCTGTGGCCCAGCTCCATCATGCTCGTCTCAGCCTGTGTGCTGCCTCAGCATGCACCCGCACATCACCGTCATTTAACGTGCCCTGCAACATCTGGGTTTAGTGGCTTTGATGGTACAGTGAATAATGCACCTGCGAGATGATGGATTCAGTCCAAGTTTTGAATGTACAGGTGTCCTACTTGTAAAATCCAACGTGCTAGCGAGTGGTGTCACTATTTCTGCAAAGAAGACAGGGGGTTGGCAGGTTTAACACCAAGCAACTTACAATGAGGGGAAGGAGCCCCACTGAGAGAGGCACTTCTATGGCCCATGGTACCCGAGGACTTAAATTTTGGGCATACATCTTCACAGTCTTCCTTTGCACTTAAAATTACCGTGTTTCCTTGAATTCTGGGAAAATGTGTAAAGTCCCACTGCAGCGGTCAGTACTTCACAAGGAGTGAAATAAAAATTGACATTCTGGTGCTTATAAATATGGGTTAGGGACTCTTCAGTTAACATAGTTTCTCCCTACAGATACATGTGACTCTTTTCTTTTTGTTACAGAAGAAGCCTGCTAAAGCAGATATACCATCTGACTGTCAAGGTGTGGATCATGGAAGAACAATCGTTAAACAACAGCGTCCTTGATCAATTTATTAATAGCCATGAGCAGTCATATGACGAGTTTCTAAACTCGTTCACTTATCTTTTGAAAGGTACGTACCACCCAAATTTCCCATTAGAAATTGCAGCCAGAAGGGAAGGTAACAAGAGAAGGAGTAGTATTTAGTCTTGTTCTGTTACTCACTTGCTACATGACCTTAGACAAATCCTTTTGATGCTTTTGTTTTTCCTATCAGCAGTGAAATCTCTCATGACAACTTTCCTTGGCTTGGTTCACAGACTGCTCAGGTAGGGCCCTACAGATGGTTAACCATGTTTTGCTCAGTTTAGGGAGGTTGTGGGGGGCAATGTGTGGAAGGATAGACTCTCCAAGTAAGTCCCATGTCATTTTGCTAGCGAAATACTGAGACAAGAAGAGCCTAAGGAAAGTATTTCATAGTACATGACGGCCTAGGACCAGGGTTGTGCAGTTTAACACTGGCTTGCTGTGTTATGCTGTGGTATGCACTGAGCTAGCTGTACAACTAACACGGATGAAGGTAATATATAGGTATATTATTATGATATATAGGTATAATATTATATATATATAAGTATAATCCTATAGGGTAATTAGGCTGAAAAGACTTTATGCTTTGAAGATAAAATAAAAGGTGGGGCTTAACCTTGATCTGAGCACTTCTGATTACAGGAAGTTTCGATCTGTACCAAATTATGTAGTTGAGGTTCATTTATTCTGTCTGTTTTAAGTCAGGAGCAATAAGGATAAAGGGGAGTTACATATTACTCAGTTATAATTGTCTTTACCACAGGTTTCTACTTGGAATAATATCCTCATCTTATTGCAG